AAATAAAATTGAGCTCTTTCAGCACCCCGCGCTAACGTTTCATTTGCAGTGTTTTTATTAACGCTGCCCTGCTCCTGTGCCTGGGCCCTGCTCTGCCCAGAGCTGATTTTTTGGCACAAGACAGGCTCTGTTCCAAAGCCTCCCTCCTCTGGAGCTGCCAGCGGTTCAAAGCAGGTTACAATAAACACTCCGGGCCTTTGCTCATTGAGAGCAGCAAGATTGTTTGAGAAATTGTCCTAAAAACAACCTGAGCAGAGCAGAAATGGAGCAGAGGTTTCTTTCAGGCTCAGGGATGTCTCTTGGGGCAGACTGGGAGGTGGGAAGAGGTGTGACCTCCTGGCATCAGCAGGGCAGAGCCTGGCAGCGAGGGGCTGCTGCATCCCAGCCCTGCAAGGCGCAAGGGTGTGCACAGCATCCCTGGGTTAGTCACACATCTGCAGATACACCCCGGAGAAAGGGGCTCAGTGTGCAGCAGAAAACCTACACAAGAGCAAGTCAGGTGTTACCAGAAAGCTGCAGCCACTGCACACCAGGTATTCCCCACCTCTATAGGCAATGTTAGACCTCACCTGATAGGGATGACTTGGGAAAGCAACCAGCACCAGATAAAACACAGAAGCCCAAAAATGTGCAGCTCCACCAAAGAACTGCTCTGTCCCCATAGCTGTATTTCACAAAAAATATTACATTAAAAAAAAAAATGTAAAAATTATTTAAATTTTAAAATATATTTATTAATAATGTTTAAAATAATATATAATAATATACTATAATATACTATAATATAATATAATATAATATAATATAATATAATATAATATAATATATAATATAATATAATATAATATAATATAATATAATATAATATAATATAATATAATATAATATAATATAATGCAATATAATATAATGCAATATAACATAACATAACATAACATAACATAATTAATATAATATGGTATACTAAAATATAAAAAATATATTTCACCTCACTCCGTGAATGAGGCGTGATGCTCGTAATTTGTGTTTATTCATCACTGATGGACTTGTGGAAAAGGAGAATTTATTTCTGTGGTCACTGCAGTCCCTGCCATGATAAATATCAAACAACTGACCATTTTAAGTCATGTTACTTACACAAGAAGTGGCTCAGTCCTTGAAACACCATTTAAAAAAGTACTTTGTCTCCTGACTATACCTGCTGAAGGCACTGAGATCCTCAAGGGATAACAAAGCCATAAAGAAATCCAAATAGAGAAATCAAGAAGCTCATATGATAAACACTCACTGCAGCAGTTAACAACCAGTGAGTGAAATGCTGTGTCCAGGGGGTTCAAGCTCCATCATTCCATCACAAACACAAACCATGATTTTGGGTCTGAGCACCCCCATGGTGAGCATTTCTGCCTGCAACCTGAGCTGAAGAGTCTCAGCCCAGAACACTGAGAGTGCAACAGGAAAAAAAAAAAATTCTGATTTATTGGTACAGTGTTTGGGCATAGAAACAAAAATGACGACAGCGAAGCTTTCCTAACATTTGTACTCTGCACCAGGGCTCGGATTCCCTCGGAGCTCAGGGTTTTCTTCTTCAAGGCCAAGCAGCTCAGGTGGAGCATCTCAAAGACACCTCCTGCAGCTCAGAGCTCATCTCAGAAAGAGAGCATCGTGTCCTCAGCAGCAAATCCCCTTCAAAGCCCCTGCCCTACTCTTCTCAAGGCTTTGGGATTCATTCTCTCTCAGATACATCCCATATGGAGAATTAAGTTACTTGCAGAGGGACCTTTTGCACAGTTCAGTAATATCAAAGTTTAACCTCTATTGTTTCAACTTTATTTTTTTTATGAGTCATGGAAATAAAAGTTATTTAAGCCGCAGCAGGACTCAGGTCTGAGATGTACAGCACAGATGAGGACCCATCTGTTAATTTCTCTGTACCACAGCATCCTTGGCCTGTTTCTCATGTGGGTTTGGGGAAAAAAGGAGAGGAGTTGTGGGTTTTTTAGTCTCTTCCTAGATGATGTGGGTAGCCCTAAAAATCAAATTTACATTTTTTACATTTTTTCAGTGAGCAGTGAAAATAAAATCCTGGGGCTTATCAGTAATTTATGTGTAAATAATTTCAGCATTATTTTAAAAACAGCAGCGCAAAAAAATACTTCACATACCTCAAATATCAGCAATCAGCAATAAAAACAAACAAACTTTTTCCTCACCATATAAATTAGAATGTAAATATCTGTACACAAACTTACCCATGGAAAAACCCAGCCAATGGATTATTAAAAGTTACCACTGAATTTATGATACAAAACTGAGTCTTTACAGCATTGTTTCCAGTGGTGAAGACACTGAGATTTCAGACCTGAGGTTTCAGATACTGAGCTACTATTGTTTAAATATCACCAAACATCAGAGAGAGCTGTAGAATTATTCTCTAAGTATTTTACCCAAGTGTTAAAAAACCTAAACCTGACAGCTATCATTATGAGGAGTGTTCAGAAGAGGAAAATTGAGAATAAGAGAGCATCCTATCAAGTATAAGGGGCTCTAGGATTGGAAGAGAGTGAAGGAGCCTATTCTCCACAGCTTTCCATCACGTTTCTCTGTCTTACTGTTTGTAGTTCTCACTTCTTAATTAGTATTTCACCTTTCAATGTACTGCAGCCATTAATTATTTGACTTTTAGATTCCTTTCATCTCTCCAGGTTGCTTGTCTAGCTATCCTTTGACAAGATATGTGGGTGAATATTTTCTATTTTCTCCATTCATTTTTATCAAATGACAAATTTTAAATTGCCTCATTTTTCCATGCAATTTTTGCCTATGAGTGTAATAGCTGCAAGGACTTAAATCATGTAATATTAGAACATTCTGAAACAGCAGTAATGATCTAAAAATAGAGAACGCTTTTGAAACAGCTTTCAGTTACAGAGAATCCAAATTATTCTAATTTGGAAATACATTTAAGCAAATTTGGATATGCTGTGCAGCCAGTGATTTTTCACCACTTTCATCTTGCACAGCCACATTCCATGCTGATCATCTGAAATCAAAACTTCGCTGGCCTTGTCACCCTCCTTAACTTGCTTAGTGAAACAGCACTGAGAAATTGCCCTGTTTTTGAATATTTATCCACTGAGTCATGTACTGAAGCCTACAGTGATTGAGGGGGAGTCTCCACACATTAAGTCACCTTTCAGGATTTGGCCAGGGAGAGAAGGAGAGCACACTGGCTATTTTTGGAAAGACCCTGGGGAGAGAAAGGGAATCAAAGAAACCACTTTGAATATGCTGATAGTAAGATGAGCATGAAAATCCGTGTTTTACAGGCACTCATGTCCCACCGGAGCTCTTTTTATATTTTAAATCTGCCCTTAGATATTCAGGTGATAGGAGCTGTGGAAAACAGATGGTACCCAGCCCTGGAGATACTAATTGCTAGAAAATGAGCATAGCTAAAAATGACATAATCCAAGTGAGCAGGGATTGGATGTTAAAGCTCGTGCATTATACAAAATAATAAAAAATATACTTGTCTTCTGGTTGAGTGGCTGGACAGAGGCCTTGGAGATGGATACTGCTCTCTCCAGATTTGATACAGGAACCTTTTATCACTGGGCTTGATGAACTTTTCCACTTTTTTCCCACTCCTGAGAGTGGTGCAGCCCCAGCCTCCACCAGAACTCCCAGCCATTACTGCAACATTATTGTTAGTAGAAGAGAAATAAGTCCCTGCCCCATTAGCAATGCAAATATGTCTGAACTTTGGCTGGTTGTATTAGATCTGATGCCATTATGGAGAAAACCAGTAATCTATTCCTAGGAAATTTAATTAGGCTTTTGGATGTGGGCACTGTTGCTCCGTGATTAGCACATCACAGGGATTCACCATCATTAGCAAAGGTAATGACTGTTTATCTCATCCCTCAGGATCTTCTACCAGCTCTGAGAGCTTCCCCTCTCATTTTCTAGTCTGAGTGGAGTCAGGAAGGTCTGGGAAAGGCTGTGGGATTTGGAGATTGCTCCTTGGAAATGTGCTCAATAAGGAGAGGCTCAGGCATAACTGAGCTGAAGTCTGACCCACAAGGTTTTATTCAACACAAGAAATGATGCTGGAATCACAGTTTGGATCTTTGCCTGCTTGAGTTGATTCTTTTAAAGCACTGGGTGCTTTCATCCCTGTTTTTCAACAAATAGCACAGGACTGATAATCAGTTTTGTGGGATTCTGAGCTTTTTTGTGCAGCAAAATTTAGTGGGTAGGAAAGTCCTGTCTCTGGTTCTCACTGCACCTCCTCAGATGCAAAATAAATGTCCCGGATTCAGATGTCCTCTTCCATGGAAAGAGCCCCTTGGCACCTGACAGCCTGGTGTATCTGTGTAAGAGATATCACATTATCAGTGCTGCTCAGAACAAAGCTGCCCATTGTTCTGGGTTCACAAGAAGTTCTGTGGATTAAATCATTCACCAAAGACTGTGGTTCTGGGAAAAAAAATAGCATATATGAACATAATAACCAAGTATGTCTCCCAGTATTTTGGGTTTTGTTTCAAGAGAAAACAGAAAATTGGAGATCATATCTAAGCAAAAGCAACCTGTGGCCATTATAAATAGAGGTGCTTTTCAAGGTCCATTAAGCACTAATCATACCTGAGATTAAGGGGAGAAGGGGGAACCATGGGTCTAAGATTGTTGGAAGGGTACATTTCATACTAGCAAGAAATTTAAGACAAAGACAGGTCAGGCTGAGTTCTGTTTAATTTAAAAGATACTCATCTCAAGCATTAGTCAGAGGTCTTGGGATACTGGATGTCTTTCTTGTTACAGTGCACAAGGAAAAAGTGAGGAGAAAGAATTCCAGGAGAAGAAAGAGCAATACAGTCCTGATTCAGGCCTAGTTTCCTCCATTTCCCCCAGAAAAACACAGCTTAGGAGCCAGTTCTAGAATTATTCTCACAAATTTTCAAGTTTCTTGTCTAAAATGAAGACTTAAAATACCTTTGTCCTCTCCTAACTTACCTGTTAATTGCTGCACTATGAAACTTCCTTCTGGGCAAGTTCTGCTGCTCTGCAGGAGTGGTTTTCTCTCAGTGCTTCAGCATTTTCTCCACTCACCCAGGCAGTGACTGTCTGAAAACTGCACCCCTGCCCACACACTGCTGGGACACAGGCACAGGCTCCTAGCAGATAAATCAGATAAATCAGATAAATCACATAATCCCTGTGCTGTCAAACAGAACCACTGCTTCCTACTGAAAATGGTCTTGCCAACCATTGTGCACAGTTTGCAGTGACTAAAATCTGAAATGCAAGTACAGTGATGAAGTTCTTTAAGCTGGAGAGGGACTTTTGACAAGGGTGTGTAGTGGCAGGACAAGGTGGGATGCTTTAAGCTGCCAGAGGATAGGGTTGGATGGGATGTTGGGAAGGAATTCTTCCCTGGGAGGGTACTGGGGCCCTGGCACAGATTCCCAGAGAAGCTGTGGCTGTTCCTGGATCCCTGGAAGTGTCCAAGGCCAGGCTGGACAGGGCTTGGAGCAGCCTGGGATAGTAGAAGGTGTCTCTGCACATGGCAGGGGGTAGCAATGAGATGATTTTGAAGATCCCTTCCAACCCGAAGCACTCCATGATTTTATGATTCTGAATGATGTTCATCAAGATATGTCAGATTATGCCCTTTCCTGACCCAGAGATGGGGCTACTGAGAGGTGCTTTAAAAACTTTTATTCCATTTGCAGTCTCATGTGAAGGGTGAGACAATAGAGATGTTATAATTCATGCTATTACAATCAGAAGCCAACTGTTTCCTAATTACAAACACTATAATTGTTTCTTTGCCTATCAGCTTTTGCCACACCATTCTGTAAATGCCTTAAAGCCAATCACCTAAAATTACCCCTCATGGGTCCTACCACAATGCATCTTTCATAGTTTTATTTCTCCAAAGTATCTAGTTTTTTATGCAAGGCCACACTTGGAAACTTTTTTCTAGCTCCATTTCTCTCTCAACAACATCTGTCCTATTCCAAGGCATTCTAAGTCAGCATTTCTTGTCTCAAGCTTTGCATACAGATGCACACTGGGTGAGCCTTGTGTCAGGCTTTGAGAGTTTTCTACAAATTCATTGCCCACCGAGATGGGCAGTGAACATTTTAAGCTGAGCCTAATGGTGAAGATCTGGTGATTTAACACCCAGCTCTGGTGATTTAACACCCAGCTCTGGCAGCCTGCTCCAAACAGCAGCTGAATTATCCAGAGCCAGCAGCCACCCAAGCCCAACCCCAACCCATCCCAGCCACTCAGTCCCTCCCAAATTTGGATAAGGGACCAAGGCACTCCAGGGCATGATCCAAACCCAGGCAGACCCATCAGCTCCAGCCCAGCCCAGCCTGGCTGCTGACCCCCTCACCCAACCCCACTCCCTGCAAGAGCCAAGGCAGTGCCAGATCCCCACTCCACTGAATGGGGAAACAACCCCAGCACAAGGTCAGGCAGGAAAACCTCACCTGTGATAGAGAAGGAGGTTTCTGGAGCACATTATCACATAAAGTAAACAATAGTGACACCAGAGACAGCAGAAGTTTGCAGCTGTATTATAAATTCTCTTCCATCCCCCATGCCTTGGAATAAGTCATCCAAACAAGCCCTGGCAGTTTTGATGGCTCAAGAAACTTTATGGCTGAGAGCTACACAGATGATTTACTGCCACGTCCCCTTTTTCCCCTCAAGATTGCACTAAACTAGAACTTCACAATTGTTTAATGGGGGACAGCACACCCACTTTGTTGTTTTTTTTTTTCTTTTTCCTTCTCATGAGGAAACTTGTTTTACAGTTCTTGAGAAAGAATCTGTGACGTCTGATTACAACATGGAGCTGTAAATCCAAGTCTTAAAAGCAGTGTCTGTCTTTTTGGTTTTTGG